TGTGACCCGGCGCCCAGCCCATGCCACCGCCCGTCGCTGGCTCGCAGGGGTCTGTTCACCCCTGGCAGGGAGGGGAAGCAGCTGCAGCTGCCCTGGGTGTCTGCAACTGGGTCCCTGACTGCAGGGCCAGGCAGCTCGACAGTGTCACAACAGGGTCCTGGACACCACAGGGTCCCAGGGAGGGTGACTCGGGCAGCAGGCAAGCCCAGCAAATGCACCCAATGGGGCTCACAGCAAGGGGTTGGCTTAGAGGCCCTGGTTTTAGAGGGATGATGCCTGGATTTGGGGGTGTCTCCCTATACAGACATGTCTCTTCCCCTGCACCCTCTGCTGTTCTCATTGCCACCCTGGTTAACGGTGACCCTAGTGCGGGCAGTGGGGTGATGTGAGCAGACCCTGCCTCGCTCTGCAGCCTGGACACGTCTCAGGCTGCTCGCACAGCCGGGGGGGGGGGGCTCTGCCCCTCGCTCCCCCCCCTTCACCACATCCTGCCCCATCAGAGCTGCTCTGCGACTGGAGCCAGCCTGACCCCTCCCTAAGACAGCCCCCCCCAGACAGACACCCCCTCCCCTCGCTGCTCACCTGGGCAGCTCCGGGCGCGAGGGCAGGCAGCAGCAAAGGGGTTAATTCTTGGTGCAGAAGGTTTGCAGGGCTGGGAAGCAGCCCTGCGTCTGCTCCTCTCCGGAGCAGGCAGGCGGGTTAATATAACTCAGCTCCACCCTGCAGTGAGCAGCCAGTTGGGCGATAGCCAGGGGAATGAAACAGAAAACAAGCTACAAAACTCACCCTTGGATTCCAACTGCTTCCCTCCCCGGCCCCCATGGGCGGCATTTATGGGGGGGCTGGGAGGCAGTAGCCCCCCCTTCTAAGTCTGAACCCCTGGATTTCATACTTGAGATCTGCTTAAAGCTGCTGCCCTGGCTCCAAGGGCAAATCTTATTTGCTCTCCAGTTTGAGAGCAGTCACTTTTGGGGCAGGGGGTTGTTATAAAAGAGGGAGGGGCGGGGTGATTAAGAATAACAAAAGGCTGCGCTTTAAGTAATAATGCCCAAGTACTACAAATCGGGGGAGGGGGAGTAGAGTAACAACGAGTATTGTGCTGCTGGGATTTGAATGTGGACTAGTTCTGTTAAATTTTTAAAGCGCTTCCGAGGGGGAGCCGAGCTAGTCTGTAACAGGAAAAACTTAGCAAACAACACATTGGCTGGTAGCACTTTAAAGACTAACAACACAGATATTCTCGTCATCTGAAGAGGTGGGCTGTGCCCACGAAATCTCGCGATACCAGCTACATGTGCCAGGTTCTGAGCTGCTGGGCCCAGAGGTGCCGGGTTCTGAGCTGCCAGGCCCAGAGGTGCCGGGTTCTAAGCTGCCGGGCCCAGAGGTGTCGGGTTCTGAGCTGCTGGGTTCTGAGGTGCCGGGTTCTAAGCTGCCGGGCCCAGAGGTGTTGGGTTCTGAGCCGCCGGGCCCAGAGGTGTCGGGTTCTGAGCCGCCGGGCCCAGAGGTGCCGGGTTCTGACCTGCTGGTTTCTGAGCTGCTGGGCCCAGAAGTGCCGCGTTCTGAGGTGCCGGGTTCTGAGCAGCCGAGCCCAGAGGTGTTGGGTTTTGACCTATCAGGCCCTGGCATTAATGAAGCTCTGTCGCTAGCCCTGGATCGGAGGACAGGGGAAGCCATGGGGGTGACAAACCAGTGACGCTAGGAGATCAGTGTCAGCACTTGCCCCCAGTGGCACATTGGACTGGGGTCGTGGGGCAATTCGCTACCCTCCTTCAGCCACCTCTGAGCTGGCAACAGGCTGTTCCAACCAACACCATAGCTCAATGGCTTGAATAGACACTGGATGGGCAGGACAGCCCGCGCCGACCCTTTTTCCCCACTGGGCGGGGTTATCATAGAACACTAGGACTGGAAGGGACCCCAAGAAGGCATCGAATCCAGTCCCCTGCCCTCATGGCAGGACCCAGTACTGTCTAGAGTAGACCAACCCTGATAGACATTTATCTAACCTGCTCTTAAATATCTCCAGAGATGGGGATTCCACAACCTCCCTGGGCAATTTATTCCAGTGTTTGACCACCCTGACAGGTAGGAACTTTTTCCTAAAGTCCAACCTAAACCTCCCTTGCTGCAGTTTAAGCCCCTTGCTTCTTGTTCTAGCCTCAGAGGCCAAGAGGAACAAGTTTAAACGGCTATCAAGTCCCCCCTCGGTCTTCTCCTTTCCAAACTAAACAAACCCGATTCCTTCAGCCTTCCTTCATAGGTCATGTTCTCGAGACCTTTCATCATTCTTGTTGCTCTTCTCTGGACCTTCTCCAATTTCTCCACGTCTTTCTTGAAATGCGGTGCCCAGAACTGGACACAATCCTCCAATTGAGGCCTTACCAGTGCAGAGTAGAGCGGGAAAATGACTTCTTGTGTCTTGCTCACAACACACCTGTTAATGCAGCCCAGAATCACGTTTGCTTTTTTTGCAACAGCATCACAGTGCTGACTCATATTCAGCTTGTGGTCCACTATAACCCCCAGATCCCTCTCTGCCGTACTCCTTCCTAGACAGTCGCTTCCCATTCTGTATGTGTGAAACTGATTGTTCCTTCCTAAGTGGAGCACTTTGCATTTGTTCTTATTAAACTTCTTATTAAACTCCGTGTCCTCCATGAGAAAATTGTTCCCTTATTTCTAGTGCGGACATCTCTCAGCCACGCCCACCTGAGCCAGAGGGGAGGAGCTTAGGACACGCCAATGGGGTCAGCCTCTCCCATTGGCCAATGTGTGTGCCAATGGGGGAGACAGGCAGCTGGGGCAGGTAGCTCAGGCGTGGTGGGTCGCCAGGTTGTTTTCTCGGCTCTGACAAGTTATATGTTTGGCTGCTCAGTGTCACGCTGTCTATCGCTCCGGGCCCAAGTCCTTTCCTCCAAGGAGGGGCTACCTTTTGTACCCACCTCGCTCTGGTTTCAGCATCGCTGCGGTGAGGCCGGCTGAGAAGCCGGGGAGAGGTTCATCAAACGGAGACCCAGAGGCTCTTCGTGACCTAAATTGGAAAACAAGCGGGCCAATTAGCACAGCTGCTCCCTCTCTCCTTATTGACCATAGGGGATTTGAAAGGACATTTATTTTAGGCCGCTCCTAGCGGATTCCCATGCCCCTAGTTATAGCACATGCTTGTCAGGAATGTTGAAGCTCTGGGAAGCTGGCCGGCAGAGTGGCGGCTGGGGGGGTGTGGATTGGCCTGTGGGGCAGGCAATGTGAGCGGACCGGATGCAAGATTGGAGGAGAGGGCTTTGATTTGTGTTTGATGCCTCCATCCCCCAGCCCAGCTGACTGGCAAAGGCATCAATCCTCCATCTGTGCCAAAAAAAAAAAAATGCTTCCCGCAACAACACTAAGGCGGAAGTCCAGATGACTTCAAATCATGGGTGCAGTCGGGGGGAAAGGACTGTTTCTTCTCAACCCCCACCCCCAGACAGATACCTTGAACATGATAGGACTGCTCCTAGCAAAGCAGGCTTCTGAATCAGCTCCAGAGATTCCTTTTGATTCCAAGAGAAACCAGGATAACGTTCCAGGATGGATTTTACAACCCTATAAAGGCCTCCCCTGTCACCACACTGCGCACGGCACAAATAAACCAACAGACAGAGCTATTCTTCCTAAGAGGCACGTTTTGGAGACTTGTGTAACTACCACTCAGTAGATTTGAACCCAGAACCTTCTGGAGCATAACTTCAGAGCAGCATCAGCATGAGGGTATGTCTACACTACCCTCCTCATTCGAACTAGCGGGGTAATGTAGGTATACCGCACTTTCAAATGAAGCCCGGGATTTGAATTTCCCGGGCTTCATTTGCATAAGCCGGGCGCCGCCATTTTTAAATCCCGGCTCGTTCGAACCCCGTGCCGCGCGGCTACACGCGGCACGAACTAGGTAGTTCGGACTAGGCTTCTAATCTGAACTAGCTGTACTCCTCGTGGAATGAGGAGTACAGCTAGTTCGGATTAGGAAGCCTAATCCGAACTAGCTACTCTGTGTCGCCTGTAGCCGCGCGACATGGGGTTCGAACGAGCCGGGATTTAAAAATGGCGGCGCCCGGCTTATGCAAATGAAGCCCGGGAAATTCAAATCCTGGGCTTCATTTGCAAGTGCGGTATGCCTACATTACCCCGCTAGTTCGAACTAGCGGGGTAGTGTAGACATACCCTGAGTTATTCAGCGGCCTGGCTCTCAGTATAGTCTGGAGAGCAGTGTTTCTTAAACTACGTGTGCCGCGGTGAGGCAGTTGGTGGTATGCTGCAGAGAACAACAGAGTTCAAAATGGCTGCCCTTAAAGAGGCAGGCAACCCCCCCTTTTTTTTTTTTTTTTTTTTCTTTGTAATCTTCCCTATCCTTTTTTTTCCTCAACAAAAAATCCTTGGTGATCCTCATAAAAAACTACTGTTTAGTGTTCCTCAGTCTTAAAAAGTTTAAGAAACATGGCTGTTGAGCTCCCTTGTTCTTATCTCTCTCTGTAAGAGGTCTAAGTATCACTCCGTCGGACAATGACCCCCACTACAGCTACTTCTACACTTTAGGATTTTGCCCGGAAACCCCCACCACGTTCAGGGAACATGTTCGCCCTTCTGCTGGCTTTTTTTTTTTTTTTTGCAGACGTGCAAACACAGTCTTTTGGAAGCCTCATCTTCTTCATTCCACGCGGAAGAAGGGATCTTCCGAAAGAAAGGGATTTTCTGGGGAAAAAAAACAAAAAAAACAGCTGTAGTGTGGACCTAGCCGTGGTGTGTGGGTCACTGCTACTCTGCATTTGCATCTTCCCGAGCTAAACTTCAAGCAGATGTTCTCTTGCAAACTCCTCTCTCTATTGTTTAGGGCTAGTTTGTGCGGGGCTCACACCCACACTCGTTAACGCTTTTTCCATGGCTTTAATGAGACGGCTCTAGTGAGGAAGTACCGGCCAACATAAGGGTGCCATACGCGAGTCCATGATTGAATTCTGTATCAGTAGTGAGTGTAGGTTTGCAGGCTTTCCCAAGGAACCTGGTGACGGGGGGGAACGTGGACCAGAATTGTCCAGTGTCTCTGCTCGCATTGGAGTAGTTGGTTCCTAGCTCTTGGATTTGTGCGGGAAACCTTGAAAGAGCCTCCGGAGTGTAACCGACGTAGGGATATCATCCGGAGCCGGGGGCTCATTGGTACACATTGAGGGAATGGCTCTGAGTGTAATCCCCCATGCAGCAAACCTGTGGAACTCCTTGCCAGAGGATATTGTGAAGGCCAAGACTGTAATAGGGTTCAAAAAAGACCTAGATGGAGGTCTTTCCTGGCTATCAGCCAGGATGAGTAGGATTGGCTTTTTTGCGGAAAACACTACTGTGCTGTCTACACTGGCCCTTTTCCGGAACAGTTTTCCGGAAAAAGACTTTTGCCCAAACGGGAGCAGCATAGTTTTTCTGGAAAAGCACTGATGATTTTACATGAGATCGTCAGTGCTTTTCCATAAATTCAAGTGGCCAGTGTAGACAGCTGGCAAGTTTTTCCGCAAAAGTGGCTGATTTTCTGGACTAACTTCCCAGTGTAGCCATAGCCTTTCAGTGTCATCACATCTGCATTTTTTATTTTGACAAAAAAAAATTTTGACCAAAATATGTCAGCCAGGTCTAGTGGGGAGGGCTGTGATGGTCTTTGGGGCCTAGGGGAGTCCAGGCCTGTTTCAAAAGAAGTCTCTAGGGATGCCAGGTGTCCCGTATTCACCTGGACAGTCTGGAACTTTCGCCTCCTGACCGGTAAAAAATTCAGAAAATACCGGACACTTAAAATGTCTGGTATTTTCTGACATTTTCCTGTCCAGGAGGCGAAAATCCCAAGTGCTTGCCTGGTTCCACAGGGGAGCTTTCTGACCCAGAGCAGGAAGACGAGACGGTGGATGGTCGCCGGCAGCCTGTTAGGGCCAAAAAGCCTCAAAAGCATTTCTTAAAGGGGCCGTGCTGTGTTTTTTTTTTCTTAACAACTTTGGTCTCCCCCTTTTTTCTCAGCAGAATGTTTTCACCAGTGTTTTTTTTTTAGGGGGGGGGATTGGGTGTTTTTGGTTAAACCCTCTGGTGACCCTAGAAGTCCCCCAAGAAAGTTCCATTAAGATTGAGATTTCCTGTTACCCACAGTGCCCGTCTCTTTGTGAGGGATTTGCATGTGGCTGGGCATAGACGCAGCCGGGTTCTTCCCTGGCCTCAGCTCAGGTTCCTCATTTGCCTCCCGTATCGTACAATGGGCTGCACCCAACGCTCCCCACGTACACCTGTCCTAATGTACAGCCACCTCCTCCCCCACACACGTCCCCTCCTGTTGTACAGCCGCACCGCTTCCAGCGTCAACAGCCACAGTCATTGGGCCAGTCTCAAGCGCATTTGTTCCCCTGGCTCTTTGCTATTCAAATCTCCTCTTGGCTGAGACATTTCCATCCCGGATTAGGCCCCTTCTCCATTTGCCTAACGAGGGCTGAGTCTCCTATCCTGGAAGATTTGCATGGGATAACGATGGTCGTTCAGCCAGCCTGGACCCCCAGCCTCCTGGGCAGAGAGCTACCAGCCTGACACTACATTTTCTTGCCTTCTTATTTCTTGTGTGCTTAGGGGGGTCGGTGCTTTCCGGGGCTTAAAGCGCGTTATCCCTTCTGAGCTGAGCCTCTAGCCAAAAACTCCGGGGCAGTGTCTACACTGGCAAGTTATTCTGGAAAATCAGCCGCTTTTCCCGAAAAACTTGCCAGCTGTCTACACTGGCCTCTTGAATTTCCGCAAAAGCACTGACGATCTCATGTAAAATCATCAGTGCTTTTCCGGAAAAACTATGCTGCTCCTGTTCGGGCAAAAGTCTTTTTCCGGAAAACTGTTCCGGAAAAGGGCCAGTGTAGACAGCACAGATTTCTTTTCCGCAATAAAGCCCCGATCGCAAAAATGACGACCGGGGCTTTTTTGCGGAAAAGCGCGTCTAGATTGGCACGGATGCTTTCCCGCAAAAAGTGCTTTTGTCGAAAAGCGTCCGTGCCAATCTAGAAGCGCTTTCACCTTTTTCTGTCAGGGCCAGCCTCTCCCGACTCTCTGGTTGGTTTCCACAGATATTTTGGGCTGCGCTGAGTCTCTCTGCCACACATACAGTTGATTATGGGATGGACAAGCTGGGCGGTTGCCCGGGGCTGCCATTTCCAAGGGGCCACCGACAGAACTGGTCTTAGAGGGGGGGCTGCAACTGTATTTGAGCCCGACCTTCCGAATCCTCCTTCCAGGTTTCCATGGTTACTCTTTTTTGTTGTTTTTTTGTTTGTTTTGGGGGGGTTTTTTTGGTTTTTTTGTTTTTTGCCTGTGGGATTTTTTTGTTTGTTTGTGGGTTTTTTGGGACTTTTTTTTTTTTTTTTTGCCTGCGTGGTTTTTTGGTTTGTCTTTTTTTGTTAGGACCGGCCCTGGCCACATCCCTTGCAAAACTAATTCCACCCACTCCAGCTGTTGCTTCTGCCTTTGAACCGCCTTAGAGCACAAGGTGTGTAGCTTCTCCCAGGCACCTGTAGTTTGGGTGCAGCTGACGCTGCATAACCCATTCATCTATAATTAAAAATACCAGCTGGTAGATATGGGCTATTCTGAATGGTGTATCTCCACCCATAAGCACAGCCTCCACCTGGCAGCTTTTAAGTTTCATTTCCTCGCTGGTGCTAGTCCAGCAGCTAAATCCTGAGAGCAGCTTCTACAGGTGATTAATGATACACACTTGAGCGTGATCAAGTGAAACCTCAAAAAGGGTAATGAAAGCTCTAGAAAACATGAGCTAGGAGGGAAGGCTGAAAGAACTGGGCTTGTTTAGTTAGGAGCAGACTGAGAGGGGACAGGAGAGCAGTTTTCAGGTATCTAAAAGGGTGTCAAAAGGAGGAGAGAGAAAAATTGTTCTCCTTGGCCTCTGAAGGTAGGACAAGAAGCAATGGGCTTAAACTGCAGCCAGGGAGGTTGAGGTTGGACATTAGGAAAAACTTCCTAGCTGTCAGGTCAGTGCCTCGCATTTTGGCACCTGAGGTGGCTGCCTCAGTTTGCCTCATGGTAAGGCCGGCCCTGGCCAGGGTGGTGAAACAAGGGAATGAATTGCTGAGGGAGGTTGTGGTATCTCCAGCCCTGGAGATACTTCAGAGCAGGTTCGATAGACACTTGTGAGGGATGATCTAGACTAGGGCTGCAATAGTGTAGTCGATTAACAGATAAGCAAAAGCTTATCGGTTAATGCTATAGCTGGGATCAGGGCCCTGTTGGGCCGGGCGTTGCACAGACACAGAGAGAGACAGTCCCTGCCCCAGCTGAGATCAGGGCCCCGTTGTGCCGGGCACTGCACAGACACAGCGAGAGACAGTCCCTGCCCCAGCTGAGATCAGGGCCCCGTTGTGCCGGGCCCAAGCGCACCCCAGACCCTGGGGTTTGCCTGGGCCATGCAGCCTGGGTAGGACCTACAGGAATAGGTGTCAGCCAGGAGGGCAGGGGAAGCCGGCCCCAATGCCCCTCCCCCTTCTCAGAGCTGCTGGGGGGGGGGCAAGTGGGGCAATTGGCCCCCCCAATGAGAATGTGTCTGAGACAGGGAGTGCCAGGAAGGGGCCCCCGAAATTGCTTTGCCCCAGGCCCCCTGAATCCTCTGGGCAGCCCTGGCGGAGGTAGATTAAGCTGACGGGGATGCTCTCTCCCATTGCTTGGAGCAGTGGTGGGTGAGCTGCGTCCTGTGGACCATATGAGGCCCCTCA